CTTCAAGGCTCAGGGGTCCAAGATTATCTTCTGTGTCTGTGTTAATTGGTTTCCCTTTTCTTTGTTGAAGAGGGTCTGTGCAGTCCTTCTGCCTAGTCCGACATCTTGCCGGAACTCTTCCCTCTTCAGTTCTTTCAGGTTGAGAAATGCCAAGCATGTTCTTCCCTTTTGGCTTTCCAGCTCCATGTCTTTTCACATTTCATTATAATAATTGATTTTGTCTTCTCAAGCTGCTCCACGAAATCTTCTGTTTAGCTCTTATCTTGTCATTTCTTCCATTTGCTTTAGCTACTCTCCACTCAAGGACAAGTTTTAGAGTCTCTTCTGACATCCATTTTGGTCTTTCCTTCCTTTCCTGTTTTTTTTTAATGACCTTTTGCTTTCTTCATAGATGATATTCTTGATGTCATCCCACAATTCCTCTGGTTTTCGGTCACTGGTGTTCAATGCATCAAGTCTATTCTTTAAATGGTCTCTAAATCAGGTGGGATATAATCAAGGTCATATTTTGGCTCTTGTGGACTTGTTTTAATTGTCTTCAGCTGCAACTTGAACTTGCAAATGAGCAGTTGATGATTGGTTCCACAATCAGCTCCTGGCCTTATTTTGGCTGAAGATATCGAACTTCCCCATCACCTCTTGACACAGGTGTGGTCAATCTGATTCCTGTTCACTCCATCTGGTGAAGTCCATGTGTATAGCTGCCATTTGTGTTGTTGAAAAAAGGTGTTTGCAATGAATAAGTCATTGGTCTTGGAAAATTCTATCATGTGATCTCCAGTGTTATTTCTGTCACCAAGGCCAAATTTTCCAACTACTGGTGATTCTTCTTTGTTTCCAACTTTTGCATTCCAGTCACCAGTGATAATCAGCACATCTTGATTGCATGTTTGGTCAACTTCATACTGCAGAAGTTGATAAAACTCTTCAATTTCCTCATCTTTGGCTTTGGTGATTTGTGCATAAATTTGAATAATAGTAGTATAAACTGGCTTTCCTTGTAGGCATATGGATATTATTCTATCACTGACAGCATTGTACTTCAGGATAGATCTTGAAACATTCTTTGTGACAATGAAAGCTGCGTCATTCCTCTTCAATTCATCATTTTCAGCATAGTAGATCATAAGGTTATCTGATTCAAAATGGCCAAAACCGGTCCATTTCAACTCACTAGTGCCTAGAAGATCAATCTTTATGTGTTCCATTTCAGTTTTGACAACTTCCGATTTTCCTAGATTCATACTTCATGCATTCCTTATTTCATCTAGCAGTCCCTAAAATTCTTCGCTGTAGGTACTACTGATATCCCAATTGTATATAACAGGAAATTAAAGTTCAAAGAGGTTAACTTGCCTAGATCCATCTGACATCAGCAATGTTATCCCTTGTTCTGGCAGTTCCCTACGAACATAGTGCTGCAACTGTTTTTGAATTATGTTCAGCAAAATTTTACTTATGTGTGATATTAATGATAGTATTCAATAATTTGTGCAATCTGTTGAATCACCTTTTTAGAATGGGTATAAATATGAATCTTTTTCAGTTGGTTGGCCAAGTAATGTCTTCCAAATTTCTCAGCATATACAAGTGAATACCTCCAGTGCTGCATCCATTTGTTGAAATATCTCAATGGGTACTCCGTGTTCCTGGAGCTTTGTTTTTTGCCATTTCCTTGTGCAAGTTGGGCTCTTTCCTTCAATACCAATGGTTCTTGATCTGATGCTACTTTCTGAAATATTTAAACATTGAAAAATTCTTTTTGGCACAGTGACTCTGTATATTTCTTCCACCTTCTTTTGATGCTTCCTGCATCATTTAATATTTTGCCCATAGAATCCTTCAATAGTGCAACTCGAGGCTTGGATTTTTTTTCTTTAGTTATTTCAGCTTGAGAAATGTTGAGTGTGTTCTTCTCTTTTGGTTTTCTAATTTCAGGTTTTTGGACATTTCATTATAGTACTTTACTTTGACTTCTTAAGTCACCCTTTGAAATCTTCTGTTCAGTTCTTTTACTTCTTCATTTCTTCCATTCACTTGAGCTATTCTCCATTCAACAGGAAGTTTCAGAGTCTCTTCACATACCCGTTTTGATCTTTTCTTCCTTTCTTGTCTTTTAAATAACTTTTACTTCTTCATTTATGGTGTTCTTGATGTCATCCCACAACTCATATGATCTTTTGTCGTTGGTGTTCAATGTGTCAGTTCTATTCTTCAGATGGTCTCTTAATTCAGGAGGGATATAATCAAGGTCATATTTTGACTATCATAGACTTGTTTTAATTGTCTTCAGTTTCAACTTGAATTTGCATATGAGCAACTGATAGTCTGTTCCACAATTGGCCCCTGGCCTTGTTCTGACTGAAGATATTGAGTTTCTCCATCTTCTCTTTCCACAAATGTAGTCAATATGATTCCTGTGCATTCTTCCTGGTGAGGTCCATGTGTATAGTCACCATTTATGTTGTTAAAAAAAGTATTTACAATGAATAAGTCATTTGTCTTCCAAAATTCTATCATGAGCTCTCTGGCATCATTTCTATCACCAAGGCCATTTTCCAACTACTGATGCTTCTTTGTTTCCAACTTTTGCATTCCAATCACCAGTAATTATCAATACATCTTGATTGCATATTTGGTCAATTTCAGACTGCAGAAGTTGGTAAAATCTTCAGTTTATTCATCTTTGGCTTTAGCGGTTGATAGATGTATTTGAAAAATAGTATTACTAACTGATCTTTTGTAGGCATATGGATATTATCCTATCACAGCATTATACTTCAGGATAGATCTTGAAATGTTCTTTTTGATGATGAACATGACATCATTTCTCTTTAATTTGTCATTCCTGTCATAGTAGATGATGTGATTGTCTGATTCAAAATGGCCAATACCAGTCCATTGTAGCTCACTAATGCTTAGGATACCAATCTTTATGTGTTCTATTTCATTTTTGACAACTTCCAGTTTTTTTAGGTTCATACTTCATACATTCCCCATTCTGATTATTAATGAATGTTTGCAGCTGTTTTTCCTCATTTAGAGTCATGTTACATGAGCAAATGAAGGTCTCAAAATGCCCCAGTGGTGGGATAGATCAGTTAGGAAGCAGTAAAACAGACATGATATAGTTTTTTCAAGCACTGTAGTTACAAAGAAATAAGACGTGAGTAAAAATTCAAATAGCTCAGGCTCAGAGGCAGATTGTGGAGAAATTCCCCAAACTGAAAAGACCAACAACAGAAAAATTTATTTTGTGTTTATTTTTCTTTTGTGCCTGGATCCTTAATGAGGCTGAGGAGCAAAAAAATGAGATTTGTGTGGAACACAAAAAAATTCAGTTGGTTATGTTGACTTCAATGTGATTGTGGTGCAATCTGATGGACAGTAATCAGAGTAATTAATCATGTGGAAAGGTTACAATTCCAGAAGAATATAGCTTTAATTCAAGTTGTGAGGCTTACTGGACAGTAGGGATGGGTAGAATGTCTGACCTGCCCTATATAATATGAAGTTTACATGAACTAAACATGTGATGGTATTTTGCAAAACAGTAAAGCACTGCACATATTCATTGATTTTATTACTATTCTGAGAATTAAGCTTATAGATGTTTTCTCTGTGTTTTTCATGGTCAGATAGAACCATGTATACATTATTTAATTAAAAATAAATTAAAAAATATATATATATTTGTTGTGTGTTTTTTCCCCAAGAGAAGTCAGTGATTTCTTCCCTAGGTTCCTGTTACCCCAACCACTCCTCAATCCTCACCTTTGCACAAATGTTGAGTCTGAGGTTTCTGTAAACCTCTCCCTGTTGCTCTGCTCACTGTGGGTCATTGAGAGCACAGAAATACATCGCAGCATCCCCCAGCTGTGAGTCTGAGATCCTGAGGCTGAAGGACTTGGCTGCTGGCTGGAAGTTCACAGAAAAGCGATTCTCTGTTGCGTTCTTTTGAATAAAAGCTTCTTGGCGAATAATGAAAATCATCTCCCCGCTGGGAGGCTGTTTGTACCAGAACAAGTAGTAATTACTACCACTAATGTCATATGTGCAGCTCAGGGTCACTGACTGTGCCTCCTGGACAGATAATTGCTGTTGAGACTGAGTGACTGTCTGGGCCATGCTGGATCCTGCGAAAAAGATGAGAGAGAGAAGGCACTGGGTTGACATGTCACCACAGAGACAAAGGAGACAGATTCTCAAGGTGGTTTTCAATCCGGGTACCTTTCTTTTTCTTCATCCAAACCCCAGCTTTGTGCCCCCAATAGCTGGAGGCAATGAGGAAATTATATCCCTGTGCTATTCAACATCCCTTCTACTTCCAGTCCTATTGGATACTAGTAAAAATAAATATATGTGCTTCTTTACCGAGATAGGTGGAGACCAGGAGTGCCCACAGCAGGCTAGGGCATGTCATGCTGGCTGCTCTCCCCTGCGGGGTGAAAATCTCTTGTTCTGATCTGGTACTTGGATCTCAGCTGTGCTTAGTGACATGACTGCTTCACAACAGGAAATGGTATGTCAGGTGGAACGTTGATCATGTCTCACTTAGAAATGCTTACCAATACTTTTTGTCTTTTGCTCTAATGTCAAAAGAAAAAGAAAACAATTCTGTAATTTTTGTGGGATTAAAATGAGAGGCAAAGAAGCTGGTAAATTGTTTTTGTAAAGACGTAATCTTGGAAAGAATGGTGGGAATGGGACACATAGGGCTAATATAATAACTTTAATTTTCTCTAAAAAGCTTTCTTTTTGTTTTCTTTCTTTTTGAAAGTTGGAACCAATATCATAAAATGGTGTCTAGATAGTGATAAATCAAGGGTTGGTTATTTTTTAATTGATACTGTTTTAATCATTTTTCAAAACTCAAAATAAATGTTGATGATAATAGCAACAACACCCAGTTAGTCTAGAAAGAAACAGAACCAGAATCCTGATTTCCAATCACACTGACACTGTTTTTTTTTTTTTTTTAATTGTGATTTGGGTGAAGATTTACAGAGCAAATTCACTTTCCATACAGCAGTTCACATACACTTTGTCTCATGTCATTGACCACAGTTTACCACAATGCAACAGCTCCCCTCCCACTTCCTCCCCATAGTTACCTCTTCCCAGTGTCCATCCCTCCATACACTCCTGCCCCCTGAGCTGTCTCCCTGTGCATAAGGAGCCCTTCTTTCTCCCATGGTTGTTCTCTCCAAGGAGTGTATCTACTTGAGGTAAATGTTTAACTCATATGCCTGTATTTTGTTTGGCTGGAAATGACACTGGTATTTTGCCCTTTTTTTCTCCCCAATAATATCGGGCTTTGGCTGTATCCAGGAGCTCTGTGATACCTGAGGAAAATGTTCCTGTAAAGGCTTTTGTGCACATCTATTGAGTCTGTGACTAAAGAATCAGAACAATTAACATAGAATTGATTTGGGAACTTTCTGTGTTGCACATCACAGCTTGTCATTGGTATCTCATTTTTTCCTACTTGCATTCTCCTGTGATAGAGGAAAGGTCAGAAATTATTGTTCACATTTTATGGAAGACAAAGCTGAGTAAAAAGGAAGACTCACAATGTAAGGAAACTCTAGTTTCATTTGCATTAATTTTCTCTCCCTGCAGGATTTGTGTCATCTAATCTTAGATAAGATCATGGATATGTCCATCATTATATGGACATTTTCCCCCTGTAAAACTAGAAGGAGAATAAAATACTGAATTACAGCCTGACTTGCCTTGTAAGGAGTAGTGGCAGGCCTCACACTGAGTGTGACCTTTACTCTCCCTTATTGTTTTTTATTTCCATTTGAAAAACAGGGCAAACAATGGGTCTTTACCATAGACTTTCTTAACTCCAGAGAACTTCTTAAAGTACAACCTGGTGAATTGCTGTAGATGGAACAATTCTGTTGTTTACTCAGTGATTACATTTCTGCCATACCTATTATTTTCTCATCAAAGTCATGGGAAGTTGGTCAACATGTTATTACTTTACGATTTCCCCTTCTTCCTCTTCAGTTTATTGGAAACTCTATATGGTTGTACTTTTTTTTTTTTTTCCTCTCAATCTCAGGCCAGCTGATGCTATGAGTTTACTAATAGGGCTCTCAGGAGTAAATAATTTCTGTCTTTTGCCTGGGTTCACTGCACCTGTAATGCTGACTGGGGACCTCAAGTCAGATGGTCCATTCTGCCATTTGAGATCTTTCCCTGATCCTCTGGGTCCAGCCAATCAGAACTTCAGTATTTTATATTCACCAGCCAGTCAAACCCTAACTTCCACAAATAGTTATTTGTTAGAAAAGGCAGAAATCTGTCTTTTTGGGAAGCAGAACCTCTCTTCTGGGTAGACTGAGAAATTCCAAAGTGCTCCGTTCAGATATAAACCCTATTCGGCAACTATTGTCACAGGATTTCTCCCAGAAGTCAGCTAGCTATACAATATAGTAAAACCAAACCAAGCCTACTGTCATTGAGTCCATGCTGACTCACAGTGACCCCCATAGGGTTTCCAAGGCTGTAAATTTTTATGGAAGCAGACTGCCTTGTCTTTCTCCTGCAGAATGGCTGGTGGGTTTGAATTGCTAACTTTTCGTTAGCAACCCAATACCTTAACCATAGTACCACCAGAGCTGCTTCACTATAGTAAAAACTAGGGGAAAAATATGTATCTCACACATACTCACAAGTTTTCATTGGTGAACTTTTACAGAAACAGAAACTAAGATACATCCACAAATAATGGCACAAATAGAAGCTGCTCCAGACGTTGGGGCATTCACTTTTAGTTGGGTGGATCTTGACCAAAGGAAACAAAGAGTCCCCAGTCCTAGTCACTTCAGACATCTCATATTTAGAGTTGCTCTTAGGAGTCTCAATTCCTTACCTGAAAATACAGTGAAGAAAAAAACTTTTAAAAGTCTTCCTCTGATTCATTATATTCATTGCCATTTTCCCTTGTCAGAAGGAGATGATGGGGATTGTTTACTAACCCCAAGTGGAGCTCCCAATGCAGGGAGTGGGACAACTGGCCCCAGCACATTTTGAGGAACAGAGGTTCCCTGCAGGGCAGAGGTAGGTACCTGGTCCCTTGACTGGGTGGACCTGATGTTCAGGGAGTGGTGGAACTGGGGAGTAGTAGCACTGAAGGAAGCTTCTAATCTTCTCTTGTGCTCCAAAGCCCCATTTACCAAGAAGAGACACAAAGTCACCAGATTGATTCTAGATATGAAACACTGTTCAAATAATTGTGGTAGTTAATGAAATTCTTTCCTTCCTATATAGTGAGTAAGGAAGGAGTTTCCTCTTCCTTCATTTGATGGCTAATTTTTCTTAACAAGATGTTGAAAAGGTGGATTCAAAACTTCTTTTGTTCTTTGAGTTCCTTTAATAAAAAATAGAGACTAATCCCCAGAGCCTTCCAGGTCCTCTGGGTTACTGATTAAGTGAATTCTCTTGGTTCACATTCCTGCTACATGCATGTGACTTCTAAGCACTCTTCCATGCCTTGGCCTTCCTAGATTATTTGAGTATTTGATTCTGGAAATCTGACCTAGACTATCCAGATAAAAGAGTATTTATTCCAGTTCTTTGTCTGTATCAGGAACCTAGTAATTGTCTTGAACATGAGACAGGCTTTTGCAAATAACTGTTCTAAATGGAAGAAAGCAGTGCCCTCTTGAGGTTGTAAGGAATTACAGAGGTTATTTCTTACTCCACACAGAAAGAACTTGGTTTAGTCAAGAAATCTGTTCTTGTAGTAATATGTTTATGAGTTTCAAATCTCTATTTATACTTAATGAAGTGACTTTTATATTTATAATTTATCCTTCCCTTTATGACTGCTTTCTGATATCCTACCTTTTATCTGTGTCTTTTCTCTTCAAAGAAACTTGTGACTATGTTAGAATGTACTGGATTTTTTCTCTTACTACTCTTTCAGGAAAATAAAATGATTATGAAATTAATTTTAGGCATAATCTTAGGGTTTTATTAAGCACTTATTATGTGCCCAACACTGTGCCAAAAGCAGTGAGAAATGCTGATGTGTATAAGGTAAAGTTCCATCCTCATAGAGACTGTAATGTATTTAAGAAGGAAAGGTCAGTACTTTGAAACAGCAACAGCAGATTCCTCAAGAAAGTGTGCCACTAAGAGTCAAACTATTTGGTTCAGATTCAGTACTATATGATATAAGAAGAGAATGAATCCAAGGATTCTGTGACTAGAGACTGACTGTTTGTTATCTACTGACTAACTCATCCTGTTGATCTGGATATCAGCTAGGCTGTCAGGGAGGTATTAACATGAGACAGAAAGAGTCACATGCTTTGTATCGGTTCTCATGATCCACTCTAATGCCTCTTCCCCAGATTTCATTGCCCAGGATTTTCCAATATTGCTCCCTTCAAGCCCCTACCTAGCCAGTGAAGCCACTTGCCATTGAACAGTAGTCTGCATGTCATTACCTCAGATCACATCTCCCTTTAAATAGTGGAACGTACTATTGGCAGCTTTACCCACTTAGAGAATTTATTTTTATCAGGGTCACTGAGAAGGGCTATAGTGCAGCAGCAGTCAATTTTGGGCTTACACTAATATACTGAATTGGTGTAATCCAGCAGAACCATTGCTCAGATTGGCACTAGGAAACCCCCAATAGGGTCATAATATGAGTTGAGGGAGAGGATCAGTGCAACAGAGGTGATGTCTTGGAGTTTAGGCCACTTTTCGGTGATTATCTGTGTCTTCTGGATCTACTTGGGCATGACCCCAAATGTACGATTTCCATCGCTCTACTTGTCTGCCCTTATGCCTTCGAGGGTCTGAAAACATAGCCATATTAAATGGCTTTGTTACTTTGTCACTCGATGTCCAGTGGTTGGGAGCTCTTTCTCAAATAATGACTAGTTATCTGTAGCTCCAGAAATCTGGAGGTATGTGCTGCAATTGTCCTCTCAGAGCTTGCTAGAGATTTTATAGAATATTTCCATACAGGAATTACTACCTGGCATTTCTTGGGAAATTTATAAATTTTCTCAAATCTTGAGAAAAAGTAGTTGAGAAATTGGGATAAATAGATAAAGTACTATGATTCCTTCTGTGAAAATTAAAGCTGATATTACTGGTTTTGAAGAAACCCATTGACTTTAAAACCAAAGCAAGAGCAAAAAATGCATGGAATTGAATGTTAAGGTTAATATTTCCAGTAAAAAAATAGCATAGGAGAGAAGTGATCACTTCTAATCATTTCATCTTGCTTGTAGCTGCTGCTATGTTATACTTATTTGTTGGTGGCTTTGTCCACTGCTAACAATGAGTCATTCCTGAGAATTATACAAATATTAATAACCTTGTATGATTAGTATTTTTCATACCACCGCACATCTGTTGTCCTCTGTTGGCTTGCATGTTGCTGCGACA